GGAACCACTAGGCGCGAGTCATCGGGAACAGGTTTACGCCCTCGTCGCCGTTCGAGATGCCGTGGCAATTGTCGACCACGTTGATGACGCGGACGTGTTGCCGTCCGGTGGTACGCCGATAGAATTAAAAACCACTCAGACGGATTCGATATTTTGTTTGTTGATCAGACTTGTACCCCTTAAAAAATCTCGACTACCCCCCAAAGGGTACGTGTATCACTGCCTTAGAGTACAAATACTAATGATGGCAGTGCATGTCTGTTTAATATTTAGAGCGCGTCCACGAGAAAGTTATGAACACCAATTTGCGTGCTCGATTAAAAATATTTGACGTTGTGTATTGCTCCCGCTTCATTCATCACTATCATCATTATCCATTCCAGGAGCACTACGAGAAAATGAAAATGAGAAATGGAAGTTTTTGTACATAGTAACTTTTAGATTACGGAGTTATTTTTTGTCTAAATATTAGCAAAAATAAATAAATATTAAAATAAATATTAGCAGAGTCATTCAATTTACATAATATTTTCTCGACGACAGAACAATTGCGTTAGACGTATTGAATATACGAATAGCACATTTAATATGAGTGTCGTAGGTTTGGACTATACAGTTTGTCCCATAAGTTCCGTATCATCCTTAATATCTCCACGGGAAATCAATATATTTAAACGCAATTTTTTTACAATACTTAGTATGGAAATTCTGATCGAATGGCATAAAATTCAATTTTTTTTTTTAAAAACTTCAAAAATTAAAAAAAAATGTTTTGTGCATTTAAGAATTTTCAATTTTTAAGATAGCCATTTTCTTGAGCATATTTTTTAAAACAGTTCAAAAAAAAAATATTAAAATTGAATAAAATTGGACCAAGTTAGAGCAAGTTATATTTTTGATTAATTGTAACAAAAAAATGAATTTTTTCACATTTCAATAAACTAGCGCTTAGGCTACTTAGGTCATCCGATTTAACACCAATGGATTTTTTTTTTATGGGGTTATTTGAAAAATCTTGTGTATTCGTCGTATTCATTGTTTGATCTCCGTGACATAATTGAACAAAGTATTCAAAATATTTTACCTGAGACATTGGAAAATGTTAAAAATGCTTGGGTCTAAAAACTTCAGCTCTGTGTTACAAATAATGGAGGTCACTTCGAAAATTTATAAAAAAAAAATGTAATGCATTATTTTCGTTTTTATGTAATAAAAATCTTTTTTTTTTTTTCTATTAACAATCAAGTTTAAAAATATTATATGAATTTTAATTTTAATATTTCCTAAAAGCTCCACTAATAATTAGATATTTACAGATTGCCATAGAAAATCAGCATTCTAATCGAGATTGATTAAATCGAGCAATTCGTGTTTTGCTAAGTAACAACTATTATTATAATTATTCAAAAACATAATTTACTCTAACTTGGTCAATTTTTATTTAATTTTAATATATTTTTTTTTAACGGTTTTGAAAAATATGCTCAAGAAAATGGCTATCTTAAAAATTGAAAATATTTTATGCCATTCAATCAAAATTTCCATACTAAGGCCCGGCGCACATTGAGACGCAGGTGACGCAGCACACCGCAGCGTAGTTTTCTGTAATCTATTAGAACGTACTAGAGCATATTGGGAGTCAGGGCAGGGCAGAGCAGTGCTGTGCTTGTGTCGACCTGCGTCACGCAATGTCCGCGACACAGATTACTGCACACGTGCTGTGCAGTTTTGGAAATTACGATATTGCATGATTTTAAACTAAACTAAACTTGTTAATTAAGTCAAGCTTTTTTAATAATTACGATGAAAGAAACTCTAATAGAAGCCGTCAGATGTTACAATTTATTTATGACACTAGACAAATTGAATTTACCGTGACTTTGTCTTCTCTTCATAAAATTACTTTTCTACGTTTTTTTTTTCTTTACTTAACGAATACAACAAAATTATTTCTTCAAATTCGTCATCGGAATCTGATTCAGAACTTAAACTTATTAAATTTTCGGCCACATACTATCGCTCATGCTGGTAACTGTGGACAACAACTATCGGTGAAACGTCAGAACTACGTAATAATATGCGCTCATTTAGGTAGCGCAGTTTTTTCCTGCGCTGCGCTGACCTACACTGCGTTGCATCGCCTACGTCTCAATGTGCGCCGGGCCTAAGTATTGTAAAAAAAAACCACGTTTAAATATATTGATTTCCCGTGAAGATATAAAGGTGATACGGGACTTATGGGACATATTGTATAATAAAAATTTCCATTGTTTTTTTTTTTTTTTTATAAAAAAGGCAAGCAACGTATATATATAGTATATATATATAAATGATTGTTATAAAATAGTATATTCAATTCAGTGTTAGACGTTTGAACCATACTATGTAGTATACAGTATATATAGAGCACAAAATGATGCATTGTTGGCCTATCGACGCTAGGTTACAAACAAGTCCGGGATCTATGGCCACATTTTTATCGAGGGGTTCTCCAATTCTAAAGATCTATAAATTATTATAATAATCATTGTAATTGATATTTTATATGATCAATTTCTTATAGTTTTAATTACTGGAATAGCCTTTAGTGAACTAAAAAAAATACTGTTATACAAAAAGTAAATTGTTCAATTCGTATATCAATAAAAAATATTAAGTTGTAAAAGGTATTATTTATATAACACCTAAATAATGCTAAATAATAACAATATTATTATAATATACAACTTAAAATATAACATTACTAGCTGTCCCAACACGGCGTTGCCTGCGTATTAGTTTTTTTTGGCATTTTCGTAGGCCGTGTATTATTGATATTATGCATGAGAAAATATTTTTTATTTTTTTTATTTGTAGTTAATTAGTGGTTTAGGAGATCATAGCGTATAGTAAACTATTGAGTGTGTCAAATTAATATTCATATAATGTCACTAATAATAACCCACGAGATTAAGGATAGAACATAGTCTGCGATGAATGAGTAAATTACAAAGTTTTTTATTGATAACATAAACAAATATAATTTTATAAATTATGTACATTTTAAACTATTTTTAATGATGACTTATATTGTTTTGAATTATAACAATTTATATAATTATAATAATAATTTTAATTTAACTAAGAACTAATTGGTGCACAATTTTAACGCCTGACAATATTGACATACTTTGTACATTGCACCGATTGCAATATTAGAATACGTATAGTAATTTATGTCTGGATCATATTCGAACATAAGACGAAAAAATTATACACGGGTTAATATGTGGTTGGTTTGCTGTCTCGCTCGCTCTCGGGCTCTAAATGTGTATATATGCTGTTCACGTACCGCTCTTGCTCTCAAAGTTTTTTGTCGCAGACGTTCATCACGCTGCTGTCGAGATTCTTGTGCATGACCCTGTGCTGCCCAGATTCTTTGAGCTGCGTTTCTTGCAACAATTTCTTCAGCCAATTCATGATGTCTTACAATACGTTCGCGTCGTGTCTCATTGATATACGCATTGTTGAGGTTAGACTTTTTTGGCGGCATTTTACTAAAAACAAACGAGAATAATAAAATGTATACTTACGCGTTTTTAATAAAAAAAAAAAATATCCAACTCCAAAAGTTACAAAGATCCCTTCCCCCGTCCCTTTGGGGTGAAATTTCGTACGGGACGTACGATGGGAGCGTAACCAAAATCGTGAACGCCTAACTCCAAAAGTGCGGATAAGAAATAAAATGTTGTACTTACTTTAATTAAATGGTTCAAGGTCTTAAATAGAAACTTCACTATACTTACACTTCACTGAATATTACTGATGAATACGTCGTACTGAACTTCGCATTTTATACCTTTGAAGATTGAAATTTCTAGAACGAAGCTTTAGGAAACATTTTATACAACATCACTCCTTATTGTCAAACATTGTGGATCTTTCAAGAAAATTCTATAACTTTCTTTTTCACAATTATTGCAATGCAAAAATATTGAGGGCCTTAATCGAGATAAAAACTATCCTATCTTTTATTTATAAAAAAATTTATTAAAAAAATTGAGATGAAAACGATCCTATCTTTTAAGTTGGACCAAATTACACACGGTGTAAAAAATTTCATCATGATCATCATTAGTTTCGGAGTTCATTGCGGGCAAACACTGTGACATGAGATTTTTATATATAAGATTTGTTACTCAAGTATTTAATTTACTCAATAAACACCTATTTTCACTACTACATCGACCTCGAATCCCCAGACTTTTCATGAGTTAAATATAAACTTGAATCCTTATTACATAAAAAAGTTGAAATCGAAGAGCCTCACAAGCCAAAGATCATCCGTCATAATTGCCAAGTTTACGGCCATACAAAATCCTATAGTGGATATATGTCTCATTGTGTCCGCTGCCGAAACAATCACCACTCATCTGTCTGCACGAATTTATTACTATAAATAATTATACTATGTAGTTACTATGTAGTTAGCACTATTTATGAGCACTTTTTTATCATTTAATGAGATGATACTTTTAGGGGACCTTTTGAGTACCAGGTAGACACTACAAAGGCGAATAATTTATGTATCTTAATACTGTGGACGCCACTTCTAAGACTCACGGATATAAAGTTCAGTCGCTTTAAACACTCAAACATCACCCGGAACACTCGGTAAATATACAAATACATCAAAAACAAGATATATAAAGACATATAAGGCTTAAAATTTGTTTAAGGGTCTTTCCGTTTTCGAAAAATGTTTGAAGTTCTAGTTTCAAGTTTCTAGTTTAATTTTTAAATATATATTTATAAAAATCAATAATCAACATATTATATACATGTATTATTTATTTTTATTATATTATTTATTATTATATACATATATATTTTATTATAATATTGTTTTCGCAAGCATTTCTCGTGCGAAACAGTAACATTTCACGCGCGTACAGATAGCGCTGGGGTATCAAATGTTTGTGACATCGTCACCGCCCCCATCCGTTCGATGATCATCTGTCCGTGATTACTTATCTGTCATAAAAATTTCGCCTTTTGTGTGTTGTCGTTTTGTGATATTCAAGTGTTGCTGCGACGGTCCTCCTTCATCAAAAGAATTACAATTATAACAATACATTGTAGTGTCGCCGTCGCATCTTCGTAAAAATGGATGTTTTCCTATCCACCCTGAACGTGTGTTGGTCAACTTTGGAGTGCTGGTGTTGGACCGATAACTAGTCATGCAATAATGATTAAGTGAGTAAAATTGTGTTCTTACTCATTTCGAGTTTCCTGTAGGGCTCTGTTTGTTGGTTTTCGTAAGATTTTCTTTACCGGATGAGTTTGTAATTGAAAAATAAATCGATAATTAGCTATAACTAAATAGTGAGAGCAATGAATGATACAGTTTTCATTTTAAGGTCAACTGGTTGTCAAACAATCGATTAGTTTCGGTTCAATACTTTCTATGGGTTTTAAAAGAAATTCACGATCTGCTCACTGGGTACTGTTTTTTGTGAACTATACTATCTATTTTTATATTACCCTAGCACCTGCTGTTAGCACTTAATAGCAGATTAAGTTTTTGTAAGGATTTTAATTTTTTCTACCACCGCATAATTATTTTAAAGATATAAAAGAAATTCAAGGTTATTTCCTGTATTGAATGTTTCAGGATCCAGTTTGTACGTGGGAAAATTAAATCAGATGTAAGTTATAACTACATTTTTTTCACATTTATTTGATTTCTTTTATTTATATTTTATATAATTTAAAATTTGCTTTTTTCTAGAGATGATTATAATACAACATCATTTTTATGGATGCGTTGACGCCAGACATTAGAATATCAAAGTCTGATAGGAGTTTTTCTCCTGTAAAAAATTCAATGCCTAAAATGGCCAATAAACCATGGAATGCTGCTACGTATGTATCAACATTTATATATAAATACTTAATTTTAATACAAAAAAAAATTTATTTACTATCTAATTAATATAATTCTTATCTAATAAACCAAATGTTTGATTATTACAAGTATAATTTAAATATGATGGTACTTGTTTTGAGTAAAATATATTAAACAATCAATAAAAAATCATTAAAAATAATTAATTTTAAAACTATAATTATAACATATTAAATTAATCTTTTAAATTATACAGTACATTTTATTTGCCTTTTTATTAATGAACTAATTTCTTATCTGTTGATGACTATAAAAATTCCATTGGTTTGATATCTATTATCCAGCAACTTTGAACCCATGTAATCTCTTGCAGTTGTTTTTAAATAACTATTAATGTTAGATACATATTTGTTATTGTCAGTCTGTAGTATAGTATGTTATATACTTTGTTGACCCTAATATTAAATGGTGTACGATAGACAGTTTCCTATTAAATAATATTTTTTGAAATAAAACATAAATATTGTTACATACAATTTAAGATCTTATTAAGTTAATATTAATTGTGAATTATTTTCTCTGTATGTAATGTATTTATTTTAATCATTCTTTAAAATGCAGAAACATTTTTATTTTAATAATATTTATGAACATAATTGCTTTTACTGTAAAACAATTTTATATTTTTTATATTTATTTAAATAAATAATAATTAGAAATTTTGTTAATAAATATCTACTTATATTCAAAAATATTTCATCTTGCATTACATCTTGATTAATTCTAATATTTAATTAAATAGTAATTTTCATTGAATAAAATATAATATTTCTTAATAGTTATTTTTGGCAATATAATACACATAGCTCACAAATTGTTATTTACATATTCTTCTAAAAATGTTATTATGCGATACTTATATATACAATAAATACCTTATAATTAGTTTTTCTGCCGATGAAATTGCTATGAGTCGATGTAAATCACCTGTGGGATCATCTGGTAGTATTCGAGTAGTTCGTCATGAACGAGGGGGATCTGCAGATACTGGACTCATTAGACCAGATAACTTATCAAGTTATGCATCTAGTGAAGAACCTAATCCAACTGGCAACAATGAAGACGATGGTGTATGTGAAGAAAAATAATACTTAATGATTGTGTAAATATTTATCATATAGTATTTTTTTTACTATAGGATTTATTCTACTCATATTCTGCATACAATAGCGCTGAATTAGCAGATGATTCTGATGGTACAAAAAAAAGAGCGGCAATGGATCATGTCCGTTCTAAAATTGTTCGTACAAAGGATTTGATTCGAAGTGAACAAACAGCTAGAGATGGTAATTTTAATATTATTAATTTTAATTTTATGTATGATAAGTAATAAAAAATATTTTAAATATTTTTCTACAGATAATGTCAATGAATATTTAAAATTAGCTTCAAATGCAGATAAACAACAATTAGCTCGTATAAAATCAATATTTGAAAAGAAAAATCAAAAATCTGCTGTTGGCATATCACAGTTACAAAAAAAACTTGAGGGTTATAATAAGCGATTAAAAGACTTAGAAACACATGGGCTTACAACTTCACATCACTTAAAACAACCCAAAGAAATGCTAAGAGATGTTGGACATGGTTTAAGGTACATTTTTAGAGTTCAAACTTTAAGTTAATATTCAAATTCAATTAATATTACTTTTAAGTTTGTGTTATTTTAAATTTTAGACATGTTGGTGGTAATATAAGAGATGGAATTTCTGGTTTATCTGGGTAAATATAATTGAATTAATTTAACTAATTGTATAGTTATTAATTATGTTTATAGTTTATTTATTGAAATTACTATTTTATATATAATAATTATGTGTATAAGTTTTTGTTGAACTATTTTTATAATTATATAATTTTTCATTTGTTATAAAATCATTATTCGTGTATGTTAAATATGTTTAAAATTGTATTGTAATATTCATATAATATTAACAGTGATTGTTTTTTCATTTTATTTAATCTTTTAATATTTAGTAATAATATTTATTTTTTAATTTTACTTTATGAATGTATTTTTCAATTATTAATTTTAGTCCTTGTTTTCAATAATGAAATTTTCCATTTTTAATACTAATTTTTTCTATTTAAAATATGTTAATAAATGAATAACAAATGATTAGGTAATGTAAAGTAAATTAAGTAAAATTAAATAGTGTTTGGTATTTTTAAGTATTCTGATAGTTGAATGTGTTTAACAAGGCTTTAGCATTAGTTATTATTCTACATTATATAAATAATAATAAAAAATAATAAATATATATATTATATATTTCTGAAAATAATAATTTAACAAATTAAAGATCTCAGAAAAAATTATTTAATGATTATTTATTAAGTTTGTTTTGATATTTTTTTTACTGTTTTGACGTTTAATCATCAGTTTATATATATATATAGGTATATTTAGAATATTTTTTATTATTCCATATTTTAAATATTTTAATCTAAAATCATAAGGATAAATTTGTGATAATCTCGGCGTAATATGTATTCAATGTATATTGGACACTTATGTTTCTGTTTTATTTGATTGATATATGAATCTTAAGTTTGTTTGAAACCAATTTCAAAATTAATAGGTTATTTGAGAAAGTATAACGTGATTGCTTCAATACAATTATAATATCTGAGATTAGTAAATCATTATGAAGTGCATTCAATTATTCATAAATTAACATATTATTTTAAATAACTTCAATAAAACAATTATTCTTATCAATGATGATGTATTAGTATTTATGAATATTTATATATATTGCATACCAACTAGTTTTTTTTGCTCTTCTGAATTTGATCTTTTGCATTACAGGATGTAGTTTGGTTAACAAACTTTTTTCATTGCTCATTTCATTATGCATTTATTAAAATAATATATTTAATAGAATTATCTTTTGATAAAATTCCATCATGGGTAGGAAATTTATACTTAAATTTAAAAATTCTAAAATTCATGTGTTTATCATCTTTTGATTGATTGTGGTCATAGCTTATAATTCATTCACAGTATCGCTAATTTTATCTTTGAGGTTTTAAATTTTTAATTTTCTCTCACTAATATCATTTGTAAAATATTCTTAAAAATTTCTAAATAATATAAATATTAATATTTCTTAAAAATGTTTAAATAAGTATATTTGCATTTATTAAACTTAATTGGTTTGTGACTATTTTTCTATATGGTTTTCATATTTTTGAATATTAGTCGGTATTAAGATTTAGTTAAACATAATTTATTTATTTTTATTATGAACATTAGATAATTCTTGATATTATACAACATAATTATTTAAATTTTTTTCATTTATTATATTTAATTATATAAAATATTTGATATTCTTTAATAGATTAATACTAATAATATTATTATTATTATAACTTATAGATTTAGTTAAATGGTTGATATTCGGAAAGACTCGAGATTATATGCTTAAAAGTTTCCATTAGACATTGACCTATTATCTATTTGGCCTGGTGGTTCTATTTATTTATTATTTATATTTATATAAAATTTTATAAATTATTTTAATTCAATAATAACATTAAACTTTTCTATTGAAAAAAATTTTTTATAATAAACATTTCATTTTTTTATTTTTATTTTTATTTTATTTTTATATTATATAAGAAATAATAGGAGTATTGAGTTTTGAATATAATTATAAAATTATGTTATTTATTTAGATCAGTGATGTCTAAACCGCGAGAATTTGCCCATTTAATTCGAAATAAATTTGGTAGTGCTGACAATATCAATTCTATATCAAGTAAATATTAACTTATTTATTAATTTGGGTTGTTTGAGTTTTGGTTTTTAGTCATAAAATTAATCAATATTTTAATTAGGATCAAGTGAAGCAGATCTAACAGAAGATAATAGTGATCAGCAGAGTGGTCGCAACCATCATGGTAGTGCTACTTTGCCAGGTGGTGTTGGACTTCATGCATCAACTGGTGGTGCTGTTGTATCTCGCAGTGAAGATGGTGCTTCTGAATGCAGGTAATTATTTTTTAATATTCATTCATGTGTATCAAAGATAAAAAGTATGTTATTAAATAATATAATATACCATTATAATGTTATTTAAGAATATAAGTTTTATAAATTGTTCAAAACTATTAAATATAAATATATTAAAAATAAATAAAAATAAATGATAATAGTAGTATCAATTAATATAAAATATTGTTTTAAAGTTCTGTAACTAGTGAATCAATTCCACCACGGACTGGGCCTGGTGGACCTCCACCTCCTGCATCAGCAACCACTTCTTTAGAACCAGTTTGGGCTGAATTAGATCATTTGCGCTCAAAAATGGAACATATTAAACAATTAGTATCTAAAGATATTGCATCATTAAATCATTCCCTTCAGGAAGAACGTTTTCGTACTGAACGGCTTGAAGAGCAAATAAATGATCTCACTGAACTACATCAGAATGAAGTGGAAAACCTTAAACAAACCATCACAGATATGGAAGAAAAAGTGCAATACCAGAGTGAAGAAAGACTTCGTGATATTCATGAAATGCTTGAAGCATGTCAAACCAAAATGTCTAAAATGGAACATCAGCAGGCACAGCATCAACAATATGTTACTTTAGAAGGTTTAGATAATTCTAATGCTCGTGCATTGGTGGTAAAATTAATAAATGTGCTCCTTACTGTGCTCCAGGTGGTATTACTTCTAGTTGCCACTTTTGCTGGCATTCTAATGCCATTTTTAAGAACTCGTTTAAGAATTATTACCACAACTGCTGTTGTTGCTGGATTATTTATAGCAGTAAAACAATGGCCAGACAGTGTTAGTTTAAGTGATTACCTTATTAAGCATGGCAAACAAGCTTTGTTATCTGTCAAATAGTTCCCTTTTTATTTTCTTGGCAATAAAATATAGATTCATATTAATAAATCATTTAATTGTGAAGCACATTACCATGACAATTAAAAATAATATTATGACAGTATTAGGGAGAAAATAATGACCATATCGTCTTTTCTTTATTCTTTAATAAACAATATAAATAATATATAATTGACTTTATTCCTCTCACCTGCCATGACTATTGTTTTTATTAAAAATAATATTATATTAACTTGATTGTCGTTTTTGTATGTAAATTATATTTTTTAATTTATTTTGTAATTAATCGGCAATGAGGTTTAATGATACCTATGGTGATAGTGAAGACAACGAAATGGTAGCACTGAACTTTATTGTAAGTCATACTGATAATTTTTTTATTACATTATATTTTTTTATTTACTTTTATATCTATCATGTGTAATATTATTTTGCTTAATCCTCCCTTTCCCCACGAAACATTGTAGTTTAGGAAGTCTTGTGATTTGTATTATTATTAATTCTTTTGTATATAAATTAAATGAAATATCTGTAATAATTATAATATTTATTATATATATATATATATATATGAATATGTAGAGAAAATGTATGCCTTTTGCAATCCTAATTTTTAGTCATTTTTAATGTGTTACATAAGTATTACACCCTAATAAATAAGTTATAATTTTTAAATTTCAATATTTTACAATTTCATTAATATTGAAATAGATATGTATATTTTATAAATAATATATTTATATTGTATATAGCTATATAAAAATTTAAATACTCACTACTTTGCAGTATTGCATTAATGTTACGATTTTATTTATGATTTGTTTTAATTTTTTTATGCAACATTTCAATATATAATTATACATTTTTAAATTGACAGTTTACATAATTAAATTCAAAATCTTCTTTAATAATTAATGTACCAGACTTAATTTCTTATTTTTTTCTTTTAACCATTCAATTTTAAAATATAATTTTACTGTTTATTTTTTATTCTAATATTAATTAACGCACATTTAAAGCTAAAAATTATTTTAAAAGTCTATAATTCAAAATATTTGTTAACTTGAATATAATTTTATATTACTTTCCAAATTAATGTAATATCAATAATATGATTGAAAATTTAGTTGATTTGTGTATCCCTGAGAGATTTTAATATTTTAAATGTTCAATTGCATTTATACAAATCATATCGCACATTTAAAGAAGTAATAAAGTTACCCTAATAATTGTATTATTTACCTATTCTATATTCGCTCATTTATCATATTATCCCCGTCCAATGCTTTTGTGAGTCTGAGATAGTATGTTTAAGCAACATTACTTTTTGTCAACATTTCATGTATATCTATATTGATTTGGAATTAATTTTTGTGAACTTAGTTCCTGTGTTTTTTATTTTTTAATTATTTTATTGAGTTGAACATATGTTTTAAATGTGATAATACTCAATGAAACTCATTGTTAATACATTCAATATATTTGTTTCAAAGATAATTTATTAGGTGCATTGTCAAATATGTAAATGTTACTTGAAATTATTATTGTAAGATGTAACTAAACATTTAATTGATGTAAATATTAAATATTTTCAATTTTAAAAATGAATTATTTATTTTTACCTTAGTAAGTGTATAATAAATCTTTGTTTATTTCTATGTGCAAGATTATTATTATTAAAAAATAAATTCACTGGGATATTATAATTTTCTAATATTTTAAAATAATTATTCATACATTTTGTTTCATAAGTTATCATAAATTCATATTATTCAATGTTTTAGTAATCATTAGTTGAAATAAAAATAAATAAAGAATTCAAAAACTCACATGATCTTTAAATTATCTCTTATAAGGTAAAAGAGAAATAACAATGGGGAGGATGAGGTAAGAGGAACCTACCATTGTTGGGTCCCCGAAGATCATGAGGATAAGTTGGGTGGGACATGTGTGAAGGTCAGAGGGAATGATTGGATCAATTACTAAATGGAAACCCAACACTAAGAGGCCTCGACGACACTCCAGACAGATGGGTAAATAGAGTACTAGAAGACTTGATACTCCTGAACGTAAGAAATGCACAAGAATATGCAAAAGATAGAGAAGAATGGAAATAATATGTTGATGCGGTGATGGGCCTTAAACGCTTGTAAAAGCCCAGAAAGAAAAAGAAGGTAAAAAAGAACAATAATTTGTTAAATTTTTTATATAATAAAAAACGATTTTAACTACCTTTATATTGAAGGGGCCAAACTAATGGTTTTATCTTTGATTATAGAATAATTATTGAATATTTATTCTATAGTCAATTGTTTGATAGATAACCTACTCATTATTAAACAAATCAATAAATTATATTAATGATTAGCAATTAGTAACATACTAATATGACAATGTGGTATTATACCACAGATTATTCATTTGACAACACACCTTATTCAAGTAATAAATAATGATTAAAACATTATTCATCAGCTATCATAAGTAATTATAGCTTTTCTGTAATAAAATTAATTGCATTAAAAAATATATGAATTAAATGATTAATAATTGTATTAACTATGAAGTATGAACCCCCAACCCAATTTTAATAATTTTAAAAAGTTGAGTAATCATTATGTATTTCTAGTAACATGTTAGCTAAACAGTTTAATTAATATTTCTGAAATTCGTAATTTCCTAACTGTCTTTATTTTTGAAGGTAACTTATAGGTAGCATAAAAATTGTACACATATTTTTTTATTTTCAATCTAGTAATTTGTTTTTTTTTTTAATTGATATTGGTTTTTTTTATTTATTTATTTTTTACCCTTAAATTTAGAAAATAAAAATATACTTTTAACCATTTAGGTAATATACAATAATAATAATAATAATAATACACTGGGATGGAAAAAATCAGATTTGTTCTTTTATCTGAACGTAACAATTTACTGATAACAATTAAAAAACAATTCAACTATTCAAGATATTCACCGAATTCGTTATCATTGCTCTGATCCGGAGTGCGGACCTGTGGCAGAATAATTTTATTATGTGTGTAGGTTTTGTACCTCTACACGTTGAATGTATAGGTACCTACTACCTACGCACAAACGTAATTGTTAATATTTGCCAATAGAGGAATGTGCCTCACAGGTGTTCCTGGGTTATGTCACGACCTCAGGCAAGGCTGATGTATATGACGTCATGATTACATGTAGATCAGGTGGGCGAGCTATCGTCCAGTCGGGCGCCAACGTGCGATTAAACAATTATTGTTGTTAAATTTGTTGTTGACTTTTTTTATATATATATATATATATCGAAAAAGAAACAACGACGTAATATATACAATAAATAAAATATAAATAACCAAACCGGTTATTTAAAATAATATTTTAACGTCGACTGGAATTATCAAGCGTGCGGAAAAATGAGAAAAAAACATGAGCTCTCCTGTATATAAATATATCAATATATTTATACATTGAGATTGATACTTAATAGTCGACTACATGTACCACATATAATATATTTCAGGCCTGTACGGTATAGGATTTGTAAATCGGAACCCTTCGCGGAACATAATGACATCAGACCGGCGATGAGGTGTTCGACCTGGTTGTAAATATAACAAACAATAATTACGATTTGAGTGTGAGCATATTTTTAAATTAATTTTTTTATTAATTTCGTGCCTTGCAATGGCGCCGAACCTTGTATTGAGGTCAGATCAGGGCCAAACATCTTTTGAATATATCGATTTTCAAATTTTCAATGTTCATTTCATATTGAGCTGAAGTTTGGCTATACTAACCATATGAAAACTTCTTTATAGAATTAACGCCTAAAATCAATATTTTTTGGGTAAAAACCACTATCTTCCTCACCCCTTGTATTGTAAAATTTGGATTGATATTTAGATATTGTGGATTTTTTTAAATTTTTTCGCTAAATTTTTGGGATTTCGGTGCCCTAATTCTCACTAAAACCCATATTACCTCAAATTTTACTAAATAATATAACATAAACAACTAACTTACCGCATAATAATTAATATATATATTATTTATGTGTTTTTTATTTGTTATATTTATCATATTCTCATTTAGAATATATTTTAATTGAATGTAACTTTTGATAACATTTATCTCAATAGTTTTTTTATTTCCCTTAGTCATTGTTTATCTTATGTATAGGATTGCGATTCTTCCCGGTTTTAAAGGCAAGTTTTGGTGTCCTAGTCAATCATTCAGTTTGTCCAGATTAATAGAAGCTAAGAAAAAATAACATTAAATATTGTATTATTTAATAATAAGACATAGAACAATATTCTACATTATATTATTATTTATTTTATTATTTTATTCGATATGATTATGTATTTTTGTATTAGCTAAAAAAAAAAAATAAATAGTAAAAAGAATATTCAATAATATATCCTGGTTTAGGAATTTCAAAATCTGAAAAGTCTATTTATACAGATGTTTTTGTCTTTGACTCTAATTAATTTTTTTCAAAGCTTATAAATTTGTATAAAATTTTAATTCATGGTTAAAAACTACATCACTTCCTACATTAGCCCAAATAAACGTTCATTAAATTTAATTTCTAAGTTTTATTTATTTTTATTGTTATAAGTACATTTCATTAGCTTTTTGACGAGCAAAAACAACTACACAGGAAAAACAATGACGCCTTTTAAAATTGTTAGTTTGATAATTTTTTTAATTGAAAAAGGAAACTATTTTACTGATTACTAGGGAACGGATTTACATGTAAATGCATATTTTTATTAAAACGAGATATTTAAGATTCGATAAGAAATGTTCATGATTTAAATCATTCCTAATAATATGATTCTACTTTAATTTTACATATTTTTACATATTTTGATATAATTACATATTTTTACATATTTCACTAATTTGTAAATATTTTTAAACATATTTTATTATTTCACGTCTTCTTCGTATGATAATACAAGAAATGATTTCAAATTTAGATCTAGTAACTTCTATTGCTATAAGAAAAGCTCAAAATATTATGCAAAATGAATCATTGAAAACTAATTTAATTTTAATTTTAGTGAATTTTAGTTTTATTGCTCATACATTTACAAAATTAGAAAAAAAATATGTCCATAAATGATAGTTTGCAAATTGTCGAATCAACGATTGAAAAATGAAAATTCTTAAACGGACCAACAGGAGATTTTGTAAAAAAGAAAATTTATGCTGTTACAGAAAAAAATTTCAGGCTACATTGATTTTAAATTAATCAATGACATAATCAGTGGTAGACACCATTCTAAAAATTTAGAATTATTGCCTTCTAATATTATGCGCTTCAAATATGCTTCAATTAACCGATGTAGGTTGATGTGCAACAATCATTTAGCCGTTTTAAAAATATATTCTCAGATCTAATAGGCGACATATAATATTTAATAATTTAAAAGATATTGTAATAATTCAATGCAACAAATCATTTTGATAGTTTAATAATTATAATTTTTTTTTTTAATTCAATTTTTTTCTTACATATTTGGATGTTTTTAGCACATATTTTATAAATTATACTTACATACATATGTACATATTTCTGTATTTTTATTACACATAAAACCGTTCCCTACTGATTACATTTTTACTTCAATTTTTGATTTAAAAAAATAATGTTAGAAAATCTATTTAAAAAAATTGATATTATATTCTTGAATATTTTACTTAGAGTTTCTGTAATTTGTATTTCAAAATCGATGATCAATGCGAGATTTAAAAAGTTTTTCAATTAAAAAAAATAAGTGCCAAATCCAATAATTGTACGTACTAATTTTTAAGTTTTTTGAAACATTTGGGGGGGGGGGGGAGCGCTGTAGCTCACTAGGCCCCCCCTATATACGCCACTGTAATCTATAACTTCTATAATTAATGTTTGAAATGTTAAGAAAATGTATTTATTTTATTTAAAGTTTTATATAGATTTAAAAAACCAACTAACTAAATTCTTAAACCTCCATTAGTCCCTTCCTTGGTTATTGATAAAACCTGCCCCTGCAGGTTGGTCGAGGCCACCATCGATTTCCCCGTTGTCACTGATCGTCACTGATAATAATCACTCATTATCGGGTCTGCAATTAAAAATATTTTATAGAAATTATTAAATTAATAATCTAGAAAACAATATTATGTTTATAATAACATAATAATGCAAGTGTTAATGGTAGTCAGTATAAAAGTTAAGGTGTTTAAATAAAAATTAAACTTGGCGTGTGTAATGATATCTTTGCTTAAGCTTAATTAAGTTAAATTTGTACGTAAAAAAAGTTGTTTCATAATAAAAACTTTGAATTCTTCAAATTAATTAGCAATAGAATATGTTTTAGTGCTGAAATGATTTTTATTATGCACTTTTGAGTTCAAAATATTTTATTGATTTGCTGGATACGATACCCAACCTCCCCCAGAATGGTTACACCATATAAATAATAGACTCATATTGTAAAATAGATTCTAGTATAGCAAAATATATCATACAATTAGCTCTACAAAACATTTAATATTCTAATTTGAGACCCTCTCATAGTCAAAGGATTTATGATTATTATAACTTAAAATAATGTATAGTTGTAGAAAAAAGATATATACAATATGTTATTTAAGTTATATTATTAAATCTGTTTTCTAATTAGGAATTGAATTATTTTTACTTGTAAATTTAATACATATTAGTAATAATCATTATAATTACGTAACTGTGTGTTCATAAATCATGATATTATATAGGGCCTTTAACATTATAATATTCTCTATAAAAGTAAACCAACTATAAGTAAAAAATGTACGAAAAACGTGTTCATGAAAATACATGATTATTGGGATGTCATAAAATATTTATTAGCGTTCTACTACTTATTACTTAAGACAAATGTATTAAATAGAAAAAATTGAATATAATAAATCAATTTTTTTTTTTTAAAACAAAAATTAATTAAAATCCTTGTTGACAGTTTAAACTACATAATTATATAAATATTTAAATGATTGAATGTATTATAAAAATACTTGTTATAATTGCCGAGATGAAAGATACCACTTCAAATGCAAGAGGAATATACCCAAAGCGTGGGTACTACGGTAGGAGGCAGTTATTTTCCTCGCCGTATTAAATGTACAAGTAGATATATTTTATGTGTGTGATATGTATATGCTAAGGGTTATTAAACTTTTATCATTCAATCCCTCTTAAAAAAAAAAAAAAAAATAAAATAAATAATAATAATCGTCGGTAATATTATAAGCTATTGATATTTTTTCCGTACCGTTTCTTTTTCCTCGCGTTAACACAATACAATATTGTATAAGCACTGATAAAATGTTCGCGAAAACATTTCTTCATGCGGATAAGATGTGTTAAGTCGGTCACGGTGTTATAATAGTGACCAATACACGAACACGCATTTACTAATAAACGAAATAAAATATTTTCGCGCTCAACGAGTGGCAGACGGGAAACGCGTGCGACAGATTGCGTTGGGTATAACGGTCCGATTCAAAGTACAATAATAATGTATTACGAGTTTCGAACCGCCGCGGCGAAGAAACTGCAGTTGCTGCAGCAGTCGCCCTTCGTGTCACCTTGAAAACGGTATTCCGTAGTCCGTTTCGTGACATTCAAGTATACATTGCGGTCAGTAATGGATTTTTATCGTGCAAGCGCATTTATCAGGTGTTTAATATGATAGCTTATGGTTTTTTTTTTTTTTCGTTACGACGAGTAAAATATCGAAAATATGGTTTGTAAAAAAAAAAAAAATCACACAGGTGTAAAGTTTCCAACAAAACCGCAATATACATGCACGAGCGTATAAACAGTGGTAATTCGTGACGTACAATGTCCGAGTGCTCTCGGATATTTGGAGTCTCCGCGAGATAATGGGCGGCTGAGCCGTACCTGTTTACGACTGTCGACGCTCAAGGAACGCGCTAAATCTACCCACCTCAGTGATTTGGCGATACAACCGATGGGAAAACATAATTTCGAACCCGCCGCCCATCGCATTACCGTGATAATCGTCCTTCCCCCACAGACCTGTTGCCGCACTACCCGGACACTCGTACAACCTGATACCTCAAACCTGACGTCCGAGAAGGTAATTGCCCTCCGACAGGCTCCCCCGCTCCCGTGCACACGTGCGCGCCGTATAACAACGACTCGTAGAATCGTATACGTGATGGGATGGTAAAAATATCGAATCATTTGTTGTTCGCAATTCATTATAATTATACAGGTGAACGCGAGTAAATCATTGCTATTCCCTACCGGGAAACTTTTAATGTGCAATTATTTTTGTTAAATGTTATTCGTTTATTTCCAAGTGGGGAAAAAGTCTCGGGCACTGTGCGCCGTGCCCGAGCATTATACGCAGTACCAGATTTTAGTGGTTCATGTGAAAACAAAGCACATTGCAAGGACACCAACAGCACAGAGACAGAATTACGTGATAGGAAATGCAACTACCAAAATAAAAACATTGTATTAGTTAATTATTATTAATAATTCGGGACTTGTTGCCTTTGCATATCGTTTAATAATGACTGTAGAATAGTCTAAATAAGATATACATTTGTTTTGAGTCATAACGGATTGAAACACAAAAAATTTAATCGCATGTTTTCGTATATTTCGTTGTTTCCTGAGCGAAACGCATACTTGACCAATTTTTATAATTTAATTGTTCTTTTATAACATACTTTATACGCATTTTTTGTTTGATGTTAAGCAGATTTATTTTAAAAGTTCATATTATTTTTTTTTTTTTTTTTACGTTTATGCATCGATGAATATATCTAACCGCAGAATGAGTCAGGGCAGTGTAACATGGGAAATACCTAATTGTTCCTGCTTATATTATCAGTTACTAAAACGTTTAGACAATGTAAAATGAAAATAAGTATTCAGTTTGTTTTTTCATTTTAAAAGAAGATGAAGGAAACTGATTAGAATGTATAAAGTAGTATAATATTTATAGTGTTATTGTTGTTAAAAAATAATACTCGTAATTGAAAAAAATGTCTAAATTCAAATGAGTAAATCAATTTTTTTAATTGCCATCAAAAAAATATTCAAATGCATGTTTTTCGTATATTTCGGTTATTTTAAGTACACATTTCTTGCAATTTGCGTGCAATAAGTCCAGAATCCTAATTATTACTGTTTATTTAAGTATTCATACAAATATATTATACTGTTTGTAATTAAAGTTTTCAACGGAAGCAACATTTTTCACATGCTTGTGAGTCAGTATGTGCACTAATTCAATTTTAGTTAAATGATCTTGACATGGACTGAGCTTGTTTGTCAATCAAGTCTACCAGGCAACGTGAATTAATTTCTGAGGAGAGGATTGGTTGCACGACTAAACCTATTTTTGCAGCACATATATTTTTTACATGATATACATATACATACTTGTATGATGAGATATTAAAGTTTCCCGAGTAATATTGTATATTTCAAATTTATCTCGTATATCGATCACGCCCTCCCTATCTAATATTTGAATTAATTTTATTTATATTATCAAGTATTACTTCCGGATTATTAAGATGATAAAAAATATTACTTTAATACAAACAAAAATAATATTTAACTATTCTATGGAAAATAATTGTTGACTCATTTTTTTCTTAAAAAATAATAGCATATTATTATTTTTGAGATTCAATGATTCTTCGTCTTTAAACTTTTTTTTATGTTTTAATATACACACTGCTTAATAAATAACTTAAAAGTAATAATATATTATTCATGTAATGCATTTAATTCGTTTTACATATGAAATCGTTTCTTCATAATATATTCATTCCGCCGTTGATTATTGTTCGCGTTTCAAATTATATCGAGTATCGTGATGTTTAGTTCAAGTAGAATAATAATTGAATTTTCAAGATCGTTAATAAATCATTTGATATCCATTGTTTACGTTTGTAACATTCTATTCGTCTAAATATTATATGATTATATGTAGGTACTGCAGTGATAACTTCATAAAAGTAGAGCTCTAGCCGCTTTAATAGCCTCTAACGGACCTATTTTTGTATGTACTAGCTACTAGTTTATAAATATATTATGCACTCGACAAAATGAATTAATATAATGCACAATAGATTATAGGCAATAGTATTGTTCGTCATCTAGATTTTGGACCGTTGCGATGTTAATTGGATGACTACGGGTTGTGTCTATTTATTCGTAGTATGAAATAACTGGCATCTTGTTAATTTACTAAAAGTCCACCATAGTTTATTTTCTTCGACACAATTCATATGTTCTAGTGATTCTAATCTATTGAGTAAATTAATGAAATCCGTATTAAACGTTTAGCGTAGAGCTATAGACTCTTAAAAATATACCTAATTGTTCGTTTATAATCGGTTATGATACGCTCCCGAATCACAAAACGACCGCCTATGGAGTTCTTTTGTTAACATATTAGAAACTAACCCAATCATTTAATAAATGCTAAATTGAGTTTTTTAAATCATCTGTATCGTTTAGTCTAATTTACATACAAAACTAAAATAATTTAAAAAATAATCATTTTATTAATTACAGTAGGTATTCATTTTTTTTTTTTTTTTTGCAAACAATTTTGTAACCTTCTTCCGTTCAAGTGAAAATAATTAGTAGAGTTGCTAACGCAAATATAAATATCTAATAGATGTTCTAACAATATATTCAATGTACAACAGGCCCGAATTAACACTATCGTAGGCCCTAGGCACAGTGCCTATAGTGCCTATGCGCTAATACGACCCTGATGTACAATCTATGTACAAATATATATTAAGATTTCCGGATGATTCGGTACTATTATATACTAATCTATGATTCGGTATGATGCGATTGTTTGTGGTCAAGTGCTCTTGACGGAAGACGAATATCGTTTTCTATACGATGACCGTGATTACGATTTACGATTCGACTCCGTTTATAGCGATTTCTGATTTCTCATAGATATTCGTTAGTAGTTACTACTTGACTTGGGTATTATGTACAGCAAAACATATCTGCATGGTTTACAGTGAATTTTAAGTACTTCTTTTATTAATTATTACACTGCCATTAATCATTACCACCAACTATTTTAATTGACGGTTTTCTCAATACAATTGCATCGACATTGTCACTCGAGATTCACACAAGACTTGAGAGTGTGTATCGTATAAATATACTGAGCTAGTAAAATATTACACCACATAGCCCTATGGTTCCGTATAGCAAACACGATTGGGATATACAGCTATAAAGTATACAGTAAGTATAAGTATAAGGTACCATAAGTATAAAGTCGCACAAAGGTCTGAAAAGACATTTCAACTTGTCAAAATTTAAATTATTAATGTAAACAAAATCATATTTGTGGTTCTTCTTTATATTAGGACTAAACTATTCAAAGCGATAAGTGAACTGTCTGTAAATATAAACGGCCATAAACACCATCAACGTTTAATTATCGGTAAAAAATTGATCAAACATTATCTAAAATTTATCATTATACTCGTAATGTGCTACCTATTTTACTTTTGACGTTTCTTATAATGAATGTACCTTTAAAGTTCAAAGAATTTTTTTTTCAATTTACACATTGGTTCGTTAAACTCAAGATAGTAACTTAAAATTAAATAGTCTTAAAATATTTAACTCTAAATTTTTAAAAATATCAATAAAATAAAGCAAAATTACTGATAAATCATAGTTATATTATAAATAAAAACTATAACTAAAAATCAACAAATGTTAACAAGTCATCAGTTCGTGGATCTTATTGAAGATATAAGTGGTTTGAATATTGTATAATTTTCCTTTTGTCCCAATTCGGACTGATTGATTAAGTGATCTTTGTTTTAGTTGGATATAATAGAGAAAATAAACCAAAAACTATTTATTATATTTTTGAAATATTACGTAAAAAAGACCTCTTGAACCAACAAATGTTGAGTCAAGACAAATTATCCAAAGAAACCCAGGAATGTATGAATAAGGATTTTAAGATTTATAGACAACATCACGCAAGAAAAAATTCTGGGATCATTAATACTGAAGATATTTTATATAATACGTCATGCATCTCTTCTGATCCGGTTATATTCAATCAATGTGACGTACTGAAAAAAAGTCTACTTCAGCTTTCCAATGAAGCTCAAAATTTGATAAATATTAATTAAACTTAATAGCTAAATTGTTTTTACTTACTATGTTTGTTTATTTAAAATAAAATCGAAAATCTTATAAAAATAAAATCGAATTTTTTAAAGAAAATTTAAGAATCTCGAAATTGTTGATAATACGGGCTTTGAATTGAAAATCAAAAATTTCAAATTTGTATTCATTTCATATGTGTTGTTTATATTTTGTAATATTCAGGAGTAATATCGAATAGAACGAGAGCTGATATTAATTTTTACAAGACATTACAGACCAAAGTGCGTCCTGATGTGAACACTAAATAACGTATGAAAACACGTAACGGCGAACG